GTAGTCAGTCCGCTCCGCCGTCGTTCATGCGTCTGGTGGCCAGTGGTCTTCGTCGTCGGAGGAGGCGGAGGCCCGAGTGGTCAGGCAACGAACGAATGGCGTGTATACGGCCGGATGTCAGTCAAGTCAGGGCGTCGCTGTCGGTCGGTCGGTCGACGACCGCCATGGAGATGAGCCCGACCGACCGCGTGCTGCGCGCCGTGGCACCGTCGTCGTACAATGGATGGTTGAACGAGCCGAGCCGCAGCGCGACAGCAATTATTCAAACGTTGCATTTAGACCGATACGTCAATTGCCCTCATTCAGTCATAATCGGCCGTCGTCGTCGTCGTCGCCGCCGCCTTCTTCGATGAATGAATGAAAATCGTTCTTTTCGAACCGCCACAAATTCCAGCGCGTGCAAGCGTTAAATTTTCACTCAACGTCCAAGCAAACGTTCGACATGGCCACCGACGCGTGAATGACGGACAAAAACGCACTGCCCCAGTCGCACTTCCCCAGTCGCATCCTCTCGTCCTCCCCCGGGCCGAAATCGACGCCACACCTCACTCCTTGAATCCATGTCTGAGGGCCGGCCACCACGACGAACCTGAACCTTGCTCGGTCGACATGCCACCGCACTCCTGCCCCCATAGGCCTACCGGACACAAAACTATGACCATTAACACAACGTGAAACCGCATCGTTTTCCGGGCTTCAGTGTGCAATTTTTGCCCACATGTTCAGATGCATGAAACCCCAGCTTCGAGTCCAGCTATTACCTGCCTCATTGAGGTATATAAATAAATTGTTTATTGCGCTGAATTATGCAATAATTGTTGTGCTGCTGAAAAACGGAATTTCTTAAAGGTGAATTCAAGCAGGGAATTTAACTGAACTGGCAGTTGTCTATATGCGCATCTGTAACGCAGCATAGTAATGGAGAAGAAAAATTTGTAATCGCTGGAATGTCGATGTTTTCCTTATACTTTCATGATGGGGCTATTTTTGGCGTCCTTATTTTCTTGAAATCAAGAGTGCAGCACTGATCTCCATTTCGACGCCATCAGCCGTAGTGCGTTATGTTAATCGACAGTCGTCCGCAGCTATGTGGGAAGCATAACTGTATTCTTCTGTTAGCTTCTACAGTATGGTACTCATTTATCAACCTCAGAAAAAGGCGAGTGACCCCTACCAGAACACGAACCCGGAACCTCTCAGTTGCGAGTCCCACGCTCTATCAGGTGAACAACCTCGGTCTGAAGCAACGTGTGCTAAATTCCCTGAGTAAGGGAACAAAAAGGGCAGGGATCATACTTTGCACACAAAATTCTTAGTTAAAAGAAGGACCATGTCATTACCATAATTAACTGAAGATAACTTTCTCATAATGGCGAGACCTCTAAGTGATGAATAACGTCAGTAGTGCAATGAAACGGCTTGTGAAATACAGGAAGCTTAAAAATGTGCAATAAGACGGGCATTAAATCATGCACCTGCATCTCAACCTGTGAGTGTTGCCTTGGAAGCAACGGAAAGTGTATTGTTCTGCTCTAACTGGATCTTAACAACAGCGTTCGCCATGCGCTCGTTTTCTCTTTACATCGCCTGGGGTTCATTCGCTCCTTGACACCCAACAATTACAAACATACCAACTAGTATTTTTTTGTTAGCAAAAAACAAAATTAGCTGACATCTCCCGTTCGAAGGTGAAAAACGGAAACATGTAGTCCACCAAAGAGTTTCTGGAACGCCTTTTGCTGCGTACGTTTTACTAAGGTCGTCCGCCATTTCGGTAAAACTGGTTACCCCGGTGGTGCGCGTCAATAGACGGTCGGTGGGTCATGGCTACTGGCCACTAACCGTCCGGGCGTTTGGCGACTATTTGGTCGAAGGGTAAACGTTGGCAGGCGGCAAAGCCGGGGGCCAACCCAACGATCAACTCCAGAATTACCGTACAGCCAGCGCAACGGCAGTTCGTTGACTTCGCGCATGGGAGGGCGTACGGAACCGATGATGACAGTCAGCTCGGCAGCAGCGTGCCAGAATGCCAGATACACCTACCGTTGGAACGTAGTTTCCTTATCAGGGCGACGACGACCTTTCACAAATGAGTACATCGTCGTTTAACCAATCAATTATACGATATTATCGGCGCGACATGTTGAAAGGTCGGCGCAACGAAACCGAACGAGTCGTCCTACCTTTACAACGGTAATCGG